TCACTTGAAAATTATATATAGAATAACGGATGGTAATAAATTTGTTAAGTGTCGAGAGCATAGTGTACAAAATATTACGTTACACCCACGTATACGAACATGTAAGAGTAGAAATTTATTGAATTAGGATGGACCTCAGATCAAAGCTCTGAAACCCATGATGAGCACACACCGTTTAGGTCTTACCTTGAAAGGAGCTGATGGATTATAGTTGAGCAAATCATTCATAGTATACTACGGGAACTTTGACATCGCTTGCTTTGTGCTCAAAGTGAGTATGCGGCTGGCCTGAGAAGCACCACCAGCACCGTGGGGTATGGAATTATCTCATATATATTAGATAGCTCCGGTCTAACAGCTTCTTTCAGGTAAAAGAGACTTAAACCAAATCATAAGCGCACATTGCAAGAGGTAAGACTTACCCACGCTACACGGAGCTAATGTGGGGTTGTTAACTATATGCTTTAGCTTACACTATAGTATACGACTAAGACTAAAACGGAACGAATGGACACAAAGGAGCTACAAGTAGTTACTCTGAGTGCGAATGCAACACATTTTTAGCTAGAGGAACACAAGACTCACATTATATTTTTTCGTCGATTGTTATTATACTGAATAGTAAATACAACGTAATATATCAGTGCCATGCACAGAGATAAATTAACTCCATGACACATATTTATTTGACAATCTTGATCATATAAAGACTCGGGAGGGCTTGATTAGGGCAAGACACCGAGGCAATGAAATGAAGAGTTTAACTTTACGTTGGCATGATAGATTTACGACTGCCGCAACTAGGTTAACCACTGAGTCCACCAGCAGCCAACACTAAGACGGTACACGGCTGTACGGTTGAGCAACTAGACGGGCAGTGTTTGTCCGGGCAGCATTATCGTCGCACGCATTGCGACATTGGTGTATTTGTATACGTCTTACCCTCTTTACGACGGACCTATTGAGGCAACAGCTGACATCACACACTAGCAAGGATCTGTGAATCGAGAGCTTGTATGGACTCGCAGGAGAAGAAAGGCGGGTCAGAGACAGAGACGGTCAGATGAACTGGCGGAGTAGATGTACGAGATGAATGTTCATCATTTGTCTCTTCGCATTTCCTGCTTCTCGTATGCGCAGTGCAAATCATCCCCGTACCAGCGAAACGGCAGCGAGCAGCTGCGTAGATAGATTTCACCCGTTTATGGAGACATGTGCGAGTTGGTTATCCTTTATTAATGCTCTGGATTTGCACAAACAATGAAGAAGGAGACCCCGAAGTGCTAGTGCGCACGAGAGACGAAGAGGAACAACGAGGAGGAAGGGAAAAAGAGGAGAGAGATGGGGTAGGTTTCTTTGGTAGATGGATGCAAAGTGCAGACAGAGGAGGACGAGTAGGTAAAACAACGCCATGGCATTAAAACGTGAATCTATCGTAGCACGCGAGCAGCTGACGTACGCTGCACCGAGGATGTAGACGCCTGAGGGACGGAGGAGAGTAGAGATGAGTGCGCATGTGGAGAGCCACGAGGAGGGATCGAAGAGCGAAAGGCACGCGAAGGCGGCAGAGTAGATTCAGTTTCATTCACATGCAGTCCATCTTCAAAGTGTTCATATATAGTTGCTCCAGTGAACACTCGAGTATGTAGCAGACACCTCATGTCCTCATGGTTCAAGACCCACGACGCAACTGATCTGTGAACTTACACTTTGAGAGATCGCTAGAACCTGTTCTCACCGTACTGTGTTTATGCAAAATGTGGAGGGTAAAATATGACAGACCTATTGCAAGTACACCGGTCAACTTGAGCATACTATGTGGCGAGAACAATCACGCGCTTCCGTCTGTGGTGTGAGAACGTGCAGTGAAAGAGCAGACGCGTTGCGAAAGCCTTTCAGCCGGTGTGTATTGGCTTAGTCGAAACATCTCACAGGCACCTTTGGACTCGCCTATGTCTCTTGTATCAACTTAAATTGATCTAGAGAGACAATCGCGTTATGCCGTCTCCTTACACACCTTCGGTATGGAGCGTTTCCTTTGGCGTAAAACGTGAGACCGTCGTTTACAGTGGCCAGTAGAATTACCGATAAATGATATTTGTTACGTGCATTTCTCGAGATAGCTGCACCTCGTAAGGCGAGAATATCTCGGCCCGCCTAACCAAGTTTAGCCTAAAGTTGGCTTTTGCTTTCTCTTATGAGAACGTTAGGAATCTAATTAACACTTACGCTGACTTTTCAGTACGAAACACGCATGGTCTATCGGCGAGTTTGCTAAATCATCTCACTGCTGGAGCTTCTATCTGTCTTAGTATTCAGTTTGAGGTTGTTCCTCCACTCTGTAAGCTTATAGTCTATCTACTATGGTCTCTCTAGGTAGTTATCTCAGGAGCAAGCCGGTTCGGCCCTTGTGTCCGGCTGGTTAGCACTCGCCATCTTCTCAAACCCCCAGCCTCACTTTAGATTTGAATAATTCCGCGTGCTCAGGGTTAAATTACTCGCGTTTAACTCCCCACGCACGGAATAAAGCAGCTTGGAGCAAGTTGAGTATGGGTTCTGCAATGGGGCGTCAGGCAAGCCGCCAAGGTCGACTGGGGCGGCTGCTTTCGCGGAAAAGAGGGCGAACTCCAGCAGTGCAATCAGCTAGAGGTGAAATAAACGGCATTTGGATATTCCAGTTGCCCAGACACCAGAGTCTAGCCAACTAGACTAGCATTTTGTCTACTAAATGGGTCAATACATAAATTAACCCCCATATTAGCCTTAGAGGGTTGGTTGGAGCAGAAGTTTTGCTTCCATTTTTTTTAAATTTCCCTGATATGTCAGAGTTCCCAACCTTTAGTGACCTCAGCAGTACTATAAAATGTACCTGCACATGTTCACAGTCGCGCATGCCTAGTTCGATGGAATGTGTGTCTGCACCAATCCTGCTGTCTCACCATATCGGGAAGAAAGCAGGCAGCGTGCAGCCTATCATGTGTTCGCTATTGGCTATTCCACACATGCAATAGCATTCACCCAACAGAAGGGTATCACGTTCTGTGTTTGTATTCACATATTTTACCCCAAACACTCTTACAAATTACATACGTTGGGTCCTATATGTTACGTATTATACTCTATAACGATATTATACTCTATAATAACAGTGTATATGTATCATATGCGTGTAATTATCTGTTTGTATTGTACTGAAATGGGGTCATCGTTCACATGTTCGTAGGTACACGAGGAATGCACATTGGTGTGTGGTAATTGGAATAGTTTGGTATTGTTGGTGGTTAGGTCTAATTTCAGAAGGGCAATGGAATCTCTTTGATCTTTGTCGAGAATCTCTTATGTTGTTCATTCCTCGAATAGCGACAATAAGGCATATTATAATAATATTGTGCAGATAACTTTACCGGGAGCCTTAGAAATGCTGCTACGTATATAATATGTAGCCTGTATATAATTTACTCACTAGCAACAGAGTAAATATTCATGTTTCATAACATTAGACATTCATACTTATAACTTTGGTCTAAACGGAAAGCGAATCCATTGTCACGTTTCTCTGCAACATTCTTTTTGGCTGTTTCAAAACAGTAATTATTTTTGTTTGTGTGTGTTTTGTAATAAAAATCAAGATATGCCCGTGCCATTTCTGCATCTCTCGCGATTCTCATTGCATTATTTCAGGCAAAGTTAAAATATTCCCAGTACTACGGTGATTCTCTATCTCGCACACACATTTGCACACTCCAGCCCCCCGGCAACAACAACAACCACTGGCAGATCCAGTCATACACGAAGCTGACAACCCACTGCTGTCGAGACTAAAAGACGTGTATGTCGACTCATCTTTGACCACCATCACGGTGAGACCACTCTACTAACCATACAACAGTGCTATAGTATAGTATCACTAAGTACAGTAGTATATACTTAGTATATAGGGATGGGCATGGTACCTGTGTGCAATGTATTGCACTACTATACGTCTAAAGAGAGATGTGATATTATAGGGGGTCGCATGACTCCTTCCTTCACGACCACTTTCTGACGTGTCGCGAACACTCAATGACCCGTTGCGTTGTTCAGATACCTTCTTAATCTGGGACAAATGGAGCGTTGAGCTTCCTCAACAGCGGGTATATACCACTTACGTATTAACACCGCGGAATGGCTCGAGGAAACGGAAAATTATTCAATGGTGTGGAAAATATAAGGGAAATGGGCTACTTACGCATTTGTACTCTCTGCAAGACAAAGTTACCACATAATATGGAATTTTCTTCTTGAAACAGTAATAATTATGTTGCAGCTACATAGTTACGTAATTCTACAGATTTGCAAGGCACCCATTGGAATTTTTACCCGGAATTGGTGGAAATATGTTGCAAAAATTCTGCGAAATTTGAAAAATGGAAGGTCAAGATGTACTTTTAGCTGGAAGACCACCCACAACACGAGACAAAAGTGCACACAGTGTGTGTGTGTGTGTGTGTGTGTGTGTGTGTGTGCTCAGAATGTGTCTGTCTGTCTGTCTGTGTCTGTGTGTGTGTGTGTGCTTATCTCCAGCCTGTTCGTCTGTGTAAAAATGCACGTCATTCCAGTCGCCACGTCTCTCAGACAAAGCGTCTGCGCTGTCACAAGCCCACTGTATAATAGTATATGTACAGTTGAGCCAATCTCTTTGTAATGGAGAGAGAGAGCGCCCTGAAAACGTGACGTGTGTACTTGAGAATGTGTGTAAACTGACAAGCGCTGATAGATTTAGCCGGGTAACTTCGTTGCGAGTTGACACGTGTATTTATGTACTAATGCTGCCGGGGAGACCGTTTACTTTGCCAGATATGGTTAATTACAAGCAAACAGCGATAGCGCAGACCCCTCGTCTGCAAAAGCACACTGGACAAGAGCCGTGCTGGCTACACCAGGGAGCCAGCAGTCTTTACTATCAAACTGATCTGGTATTATAGCAAGGCTGTACACAATACGATGGCATGGCAGCTCTTTCAAGTCTTAGCTGATCTGGCAAGGCCTTTGCCTCTGAACTATACATACATACGTAGTTCTCTGAATGGAGTCTGTGGAATTCATGGGGTTAAGTACATATTCACTCCAGGTATGGAAGAGGTTAAGTGTACTTGCTCATCCGCGAAATTTGAAACTCTGTCACATGCCTGCAATATTTGGTCTCTAACGTGATTAACTACCCGCAGTATCTTGAAAATTAGGCAAGACAAAGAGGAGCATGTTATCTACGTATTTAACTATGGTATTTTTGGAATTTCTCTATTTAGCATGTAAATGGTGTGGTCTTCATTCTATCTGTTGTATATACTTTTTGTTATACTGTCGGTGATGATATATAAATCATTCCATCTGGGTGTAAATTATTTTGTATACCTATCATTTTGCGTATTCTTTTTACCTGGAGTGTAAATTCATACACCGATTGTTTATACTGTCAGTGGTGTTCTATAAATCATACCATTATACCGTGGTAAAATATTACTTGATACACCGTCAGTGTTGTATTACCTGTATTAAATGTGGTATGTAAATGTAATCTGGTGTTATTAACCAGCGCATGCGCAGCGAGGGTTACAGTACTTGGTCTGTCTGTGTTTCATGTAATACTGTAGTGTTCGTGACATGCATGCCCAAACGCAATACCTTTGAGGTAGACTAGAGTACTATAGAGTACTCCATACATACACTCTCCAGTTATGCACACCGGTTCTGCTAGTCTTTTGCATCCCGCGTTATCAATGGAATGTGTCCGTGTTTATCCACGCCGGGCGTTTGGTTTACGTGCCATGTTTTTCAATAGCTCCTTCAGTTTACTCACCGAAACGGATTGTTTTCTTTGCAGACACTGCCCGGAGAGAGCTGAATATAAACACCTGAAACACATACTTTCATTTCTTTACTCGTTAATGTGTACATAATTATTATACAGTTGGTTCGCGGCCCCGCCCGCACAAGATTGCAGTCTGGACCGCTTTTCAATCAACGCGACAAAATGTCTGAAAAGAGTTTTTATCTGCAAGCATTAGATTGCCTCACTTCTGATATGGACATTTTCATCTGAAGAGAGAGGTTTTATTGAAACACGTGGGCTGAATGGCAGTGTGTATCTATTATATATTATATATACACCCACTTGCTGGATATATAAAATAACGCACAAGCAATCGTGAATAGAAATTTTATATTTACCAAAAATGTGCCCATCTGACAATGAACCCCATACTAACCCCCAGGTCAGCTATCAGGGAGTTAAAGTCACAGCATGCATGGCATACTATAGGAAACTCCCATTGAGTTAATTGCTATGTATTATATAGCTGGCCATTTGTCCTCGTGAAATCATTGCCAGACTGGCATACTCGGGATTGTGAGTGACATTCTTGAAATTCCTCACCTCTTATCAAAGTCTGTGTGATGCTAGCGCTACTGTAATAGCTGTATTGGACATAATGATGCAACAACTGCTCTGCTATTACTCTGTGTGTATATTATAATGTATTGTGATCAAGGTTGCAAAGCAAGGCCAGGTGGCAGAGTACAATCGAACTGCACCCTGGAAAACGATTTTAAAGAGATCTGCCCTTGGTTGGACTCGAACCCACGGCACTCTGTTCTCTAGACAGAGTGCTGAGGTAGACACATACATACATACACGTGATGGCATAGTTTATCGAGCTAGACCCTCTCTCCCCGTGCGTGCTTTTTGACTCTCTCTCCCCTCCGCCCACGCTGCATGCAATACGCATAATGTGCAAGGAGAGCTCTCGATGATGCAGAGTGACATCATCAATGAATATCATTAGTGACCCGGGCAACTACCACAGGAATGTCTGTGGCAACATGCGGCTGTAAAATTGGGGGAGGATTTATCAAAACTCTCAGCTGTGACAAGACGCTTCCCATCAGCTACACGACAACGTGGTAGTGGGACACATGTGAATATACAACATGTACCGCATACTTACATCACGACATGCTGTACACATTATCAGTGGGTTTAATCTTGCTGCGGTATGTTACATTTGTAGTGGCGTACTTGTTTTTGTGAGTAGGTATGAAAAGACTATGTAGCTGGCCATGTGCGTGTGTTCTGTCGTAGGATGCATGTGCATTGTGTATGGGGCATGCTAGCCACGCCCCTATTCATTGTACGGTATATAGTAAACACTGGTGTGGCGTGTGGGGGAGGGTGGGAGGGGGAGAGGGGGCTCCTCTGCAACTAATCTGTTTGTCCATCACAATATTGGCACCGGTGTCCATTCGCTAGCATACCTTCCATGTTGCTGGTTTGTTTTGTTGCCTTGTTCCCAGGCCATTCCCGCTGCGTGTGTGTGTGTGTGCGTATTATGCGCCACGATCGTTTGCATGGGGGATAGTAAAAAGTCGCCTGCATTGTGTTAATTAAGTCCATGATATGCGACGCAACTCTTTTGAGTGAGAAAGTTGCACTCAACACAACTTCAAATGTATGAGTATGATGGGTCCAACATGTTGCAATATAGATGTTGTTGCATTTGAAGTTGAATGCAATTACAGAACAAAGTTGCATCGTGTGATATGAGCCTGTTTACATTACATCACATGTTTTTGGATATGTGGGTGTTACGTCCAGTCGTGATGGTTGTTGTCTGCATGATATCAGCTTCAACATTTTTGCCCCCTATTAGGTTTGATTTAGCTCATTACATCACCAGTTATGGGTATAATTAGGTTATGTCACAGTGATGGCTGTTGTCTGCCTCCTAGTGGTTCATCTATCATTCTCACGCTACTACGCAGACATACAAATATCCCCTTTGCCATTTAAAACAACCTGTGCATGACGTCACATTCAGAGTATACAGCTGTAGTGGGCAAGGTTGTGAAAGAATCTGCCCAGTTGGCTATGTATGTATTCGTATATAGTAGCACCGGGCACAGATGTGGAGTAGCTGATCAGCAACTATAGTGCGCTTCATTCCTTCCCACATTATGCTAAGTACGGGGGAAACCTGTGTATGTTTGTACAGGTGGTATGTACAACTGTTACAAAATGTCAGCCAGCTGCCACTCAGAATACACTTACACATAATGGTGTCAATCTCACTGTCTTTCCCCTCCATTCTTCTCCCCTCCCCCTCTCTCTTTCTTTCTCTGTGTCCTTCCCTCCATTCTACACCTCTCTCGTCACGTATCTGAGAGCAGCCATACAAAGTGCGGTACGAACGTCGATCGAACTGCACCCGAACTGGAGTCTGGGAGGGTACCGCACAGCCCTCATCGCTACCCTCCACCCTCTCTCCCCTCTCTTCTCTCTCCTCTCTCTTTCCTCCACCCTCTCTCCCTCTCTCCCCTCTCTCCTTCTCTCTTCCCTCTCTCCCCTCCAAATCAGCAAGACAATCCGTTTGCCTCGGAAGTGACAAAAAAACCGGACAACCTTCCTCAGAACCGCTCGGCCTACTACGGCGACATTTTTTCCGTCGAATCCAGCTCTGACGGACGCCTCACCTACGCCGAAATCCTGGAAATTCTCAACAAGAGAGAGTCTGAGACCAAGGAGTCTTGGACGCCGGAAAATATCGCTGACAAGTACAATATAAAGCCGGCAGACGCCGAACAATTGATGAGATACTTCAGTGCTTATAAAACGTCACCACCGGAAAAGTGAAAGGAGTATGATATTATTATAATATCGCAGTTTCTCACTGTCTCAATTATGTTATGTATAATTACGGTCGGTGAATGAAGCAGGCACACCTATTCGCCTGATTGCGTGGTTTTTTCAGTACGGCAAAAGTCGATGTGTAACACTTGGCAATGCGCCTGCACGAACATCACGTACGTATAATTTATCATTTCAAAGGTCACACTTTATGGAACGGTTTGCATTTGAATAGTTCCGCTGTACTTCTGTGTGACCAGATTGGATGTGTATACTTAGAGAGCATTCCATTACCAGTGGAGTATTGGAACTGAAGTTATCAGTGAGGATGGGAAGAGATAGTGAGGGGTGGTGGGTGCAGTTTCTCTAGTTTTCTTGCAAATTATGCAATTCCACAGGTGTCACTATCTGCACATTCCTCTCAATTTCACCTCTTCAACCGCCACATGTACGTATGTACCTGTTTTTGCCCATTCTTTTTGATGCAATCCCCTAGCCTGATCCTTGTGCAACCTATTACGTCATACCCTAAATAGGTTACATCACCAACAGCAGAGTATGTGTACGGGCATGACACTGAATATCTAGCACAAGGTTTGAATAGTTAGGACAATAGTTTTGCTTTTACAGTCGGTGTTAGTTTCCTAGGTTGAATGGACTTCAAAGACGTAATTTCGCCCCCCACTGGCTGGCAAAAATGTCCCGTTTATTATGTGGTCCGCATTACTTCGTGGTAACCTATTATTATCTCACGTTGCACTCCCGTATACCCAGTGTTCTGGACAAAAATGTCCAAATCTATTCACGAAACCAGTGTCCCTTACCCCTGGGATGCGTATGTAGGTCTACGCGGGCGGCATTCTTGCTGCATGTGCTCATGTGCCTGCTACACCTCATCAGGTGACGGGTGACAGTCTAGAGGTATGTTCATTCGTGTGTCCACGGGTCATCAAATGACGGTGTGGTGTGTTTCTATGTATCGATGGCTCATCAAATGGCGCAGTGTACTTCTAGCCGCGGCAGAGATGGCCAAAGAGCAGCAAATCTGATCCACTGAGAAAGCAGACCTTCTAGCCACATCAAGAGCGACGACTCGTTGACTTAACAGGCAACACAACAACTCTGGCATTTTCTCAAACCTCCCACTTTTTGACCCAAACAGACCATTTGTGCAGCACCATACATATTTTGTGTACATACATCAGCATGCTCTAAAATCTGGAGAGTGGTTGCGAAAGTCGCAAAAATTTTTCCCCATACATTGTACGTACTATGTACAATTTTTTATTGGTGAATTTTTCACAAAAAAGAATGGGTAGCTTAATTCGATTAACGAAAATTTCACCTTGTGTAAATATCTTACGCCTTGCGTGCATCACTTGTTGCATTCCCTAGTGAGTTCACACCTCCTTATATGGGAAACACGTCCCAACACCACCTCGTTTATGGGCTATTAACTAAACCGGAACACAATCCCCTTGACGATACGTTATCAATGCTCTAACCACATTTCCTGAATTTAATTAACTGGGAAACAATTTACAGCGAAACGGAGGGAGGGGACACGGCAACATAATTAGCCGCAAAACATTAAAAAAACACAATTCTATTCGCCAGACTGTGTAAGTGTTGTGTCTATAGCAACTCGATACGCGGGACAGGTATGTCACATGTGCATGTATGTAAGCGACAGACAAAACACGCGTTCTTTTTCAGAATCTTAATTTTGCTAATCAGAAGATAATGGAGACATGCGTTCCGTCGAAGTAGTCTACCAGACTTTTCTGTGGCCGCAGAACCCAAACAATTCCTTCTATAGCTGCACGTCATTATCAGCGGCAGCCATCCGCTTCATTTTGTAGCCTTTTGCTATGCAATCTCTAGTCTCGGGAGGAGAAGAATTTCTAGGGGAGAATTACTCACTTTGTCTCCCACTTCACTGTGTAAATTGAAGATTAGTGTTTTTGCCTACGGCTGTTTAAAACAATTTAATCTTCTGTCATTGAAGCAATGGACATCAAACTTTCCAGTTGTGTGTAACAAGTGTGTGTACCTTGTGCTATAAATTTTCGACTGGAAGGTGTGAAAAGTTTCCTGTGATTTTGGCGGGTTTTGTTTTAGCGATTCCAAAATCGCCAGTGGCCACCAAGTTTCTCCACTTGTGTGTGTGTTTGGCTGTCGTCTGAGCGCTTTATTCCAAGGAAAAAACGGCTGCCCTGGGTGGGATTCGAACCCACGGCACTCCGCAGTCTAGGCGAGCGCTCTATCTGTTACCTGTTATCGTGGTGAAACCAACCAACGGAGAAGCTAAAACTTTGGGGTGTCATTTAATTATTACGCATTCTTTGTACAAGGGTGTGCTCGCTCTAAACGCCATCACCTCCTCCACCTCTACATATTGGTGCCAGTGTGTATCAGATGCAAGCATTCCTCTATGGAAATAAACTCCCTCGTGATCAAATATAGTCACTCGCTGATAATATTATGTACGTACGCTGGACAAACCGATTTAGTGTTCGATAAGTAACAGAGGCATTCCTCTATTGTATATGGTGATGTATAAGCCGCCCACTTCTTAACTGCACAGTGTTCCGTATTATGTAGGTAGATATACACATTCTTCCAGGTAAATAAGGAGCAGGGAACAGTCATACGTCAATGTATTATGGTAGTATTAGAGCCGCCCACTTATATCCCTGGATAGCGCTCTGACCTTATGGATTATTATATCAGATACACACATTCTTGTGGGTGAATAGGGCGCGTACATTTTGATAATGTTAAACCTGTCGACTAGTTGTTAACGGACAACAACAAGCAACACCTGTGCTTGTACATACGTAGCTCCGATCAGCAAAAGCAGCGTGCCATTCGTGGCAACCGACGTGCGTGCGTACTCCTGTGCACTAGTCTACACACACACGCACATGCGGGCACTGTACGTAGGTTGGCCTGTACGTCTGTGAATGGAGGAGGCATCTACATTCTCCCAAAAATGGATGAGAAACCAACATAACATACATTCCATCACGGCACTCCCTTAAGCCACTATGCCGTACCCTACATACATACATACATACATACACGCATACCTGGCTATAGAAGGAATACATGTGGTGCTACATTGCGTGCATATTAACACACATGCCACTACGTCTTAAGAACACGAGCGTACAATAATGCTCTGTGTATGTGTACATATTAAAGCGTATTACGGTTAGTTTTGCGACTAGTAGGTATGCGGTCGAGGCAGCATATGTACGCACCTGAGATGAATGAGTTTGTCTTCGTTGCTATACCGCAGTAAAAATGAATTACTCGGAGAATCTTGTTGAATTAACGACAGGGCATACTCTAGATTGTGCGAATTCTTACATTATGAAATAACGCAATTTCACGTGCACAAACTTGTCCTGCGACCGGGACAGTAATTCCACGAAAGTCTAACGCTTGTGATCATTTCTTTTACGATAATTTTCTCAAGGGTAAGTTAGAAATCACTATAATATACATAGCACAATGGAACCTCTTTCGTATAATAATTATTATGGGACACTCTGAATAAGTGAGGACACCTGGTTTTATGAAGACAATCGTTTAGCATCTGAATAAAGAGCACCATTGTCCCAGCACATTCTTCACTAGCGAGTTCCACTGTTCTTGTGTAGTAGTAGGCTTCTGAAGCCGTAGTTCAGAGTCTCACTGTTGTTGTTGAGTGTCACACAACTATGCTCTCAAAAAGAAAGGTTTTGGGAAAACTCGAAGTGCATTTTCCCAGGCATTCAGGGCCTCGTATGGAGTAGCATTCCTTCTTTTGTTGCTCACTCCTGCAGCTCTATTGGCTGAACATTCATACCAGACATCAATGCATCGGGCCTACCCAGTGATCATTCAGAGAAGCTTTATACTGTACACCTCTTGTCTAGATGCCCAAGGGGTGTATTGGTGCAGGAAATACAGTGCAGGTCGGTAGTAGGGGATTCAGCAAAACAGTAGTGTCAATCAGGGCTGTATAGTACGTCCCCCTTGCATCCTGAAATGCATAGGTTTTTGCTTCTTTTCCAAGCATCTTGAGTTTGAGCTGCCAAGCATGCGTATTTTAGCATATTTTTACGGGGGAAAAACGAGTATAATAAGTCATGCTATGTTTTTGCCCCAGAAAATGTAGGGGATAATGCATTCGCTAAGACAGGAACCGGATGATCCCATTTCTCATTGCTTTATAATAATATTCTGTTGTCTTTGGGGATTATCCTGCTTGGCCATAGCTACACCCACCCACGCTTGGTTTATCTTCTGCACACACAGCACGTCCTACAGAGTCACACAGTGCGGTGCAGTATCTCGGACTATAATATATAGCTATCTGCTGAAGCATCAAAAGCTGGTAGTACACATGTTGTGCACATTTGCCATATTATGTTTCAGTTGTAGGCATGAATTTGCTGCATGCTGCTTTTGCCAGATACTACATACGTACATACTTGTTGGATATCCCTAGGCAACCGACATGTATGAAGCTAATGTAGTACTGGGGGATTGTATCAGCCTATACAATCCTACATGTTCAACGGAAGGGTTCATACATGTCATTTGCCTAGGGATATCCAACAAATCTGTTGCAGTACCCAGACAGGACAGCATTCACCCTTAGAGGGCTGTCCTGTCTGGGCACTGCAACATATACTTACGCTGTCAATACCTATACCTACACGCACCGTGCGCTTGTTTTTCAGCAAAAGAATTTGAATTCATAAACTCATATTTTTCGGAAAATGCTCGAGTTTGTGTGTGTGTGTGTGCAATATTCTGCTGTTATATGGGTTCACATAATATAGACGGAAAAATTTGTTACAAATAAGAGATAGTGGTGAAAGAAATGGGGAGTAAAAAACTGGAAAAAAAAAGGAGTGGAATAAGAAATAGGTGTTCGAATAAATAGAAATTTGTTTTTTCTGAGACTAAAAAAATTGACAATGAGCACGGAAAATGAGAGAGCGATAAACTCAAGACTAAGAAAATTGCAACACAAAAACCAAAGATGAACTTCAAAAATTCACAACAAGGCGATGATTTTAGATATAGCCAGAAAAAATCTTCCAAGCACAAAAAACTAACACAAAAATTGGTCAGATGGGACAGACAACAAACCGCCACTCATACATACACCGGTTGTGGATTGGATTTTTTCCGGTCCCGTTCCCGTGGTGGAATGGGGTCTCGGGACGAGCCCATGTGCCCCGCGGTGGGCGGAGTGTTCTGTGGCTGTCGTTCGGACGCCGTTGCCGAGGACGACGACGAAGAGCTGGAATTGTGATGGTGGTGGTTGTGATGTGAGGGTGTGAGGGTGGGTTTCTTAGAGCCGCCCGACCTTTCGGGGTAGAAACGTATGAAGGTCCAGTCGTAGAATGCGTGGAGGGGCTGGTCTTTCGGGAGAGAAGACATGTCGTGTTTTGGTGTCTGGAGCCGCTGTAGTTGGCTCTGGGGGATGGGGTCGAAATGAGAGGTGTCCGCGTCGTACAATATCTTTGGGATGTACGGCGGCTCGTAGCTTCGAATCCCGACAGACCAGTCGATTGCGTTGAAGAAAGCGTGTCGTTTGATCTGCTCGGCGCCGTTCGACCCGATGCGCTCTGCGGGGTTGCAGCAGAAGCGGAGGATGAGGTCGGCCGCTGAAGGTGACATGGCGGCGTGGCGCGGTATGTGGAGGTTGTCTTGCCAGTTAATGATGCGGACTTGTGTCTCGGCTGGCGTGGGAGCCATGAACGGGGCTGCCCGACCAACATCTCGTACATTATCACCCCGACCGACCACCAGTCGCACAACTGGGTGTACCCGTTCCTCTGCAGGATCTCCGCGGCGATGTAGTTGGGCGTCCCGACGAGAGAGTGCGCGACGCAGCGATTGTGGTCTCGCATCCGACGCAGTTCCAGCGGTTTCATCGGCTGGCAGAGACTCTCGTCGTATTGCGGCTCCATGCTCCCCTGTCGGTTGTGCTGCCCCTTCGGCTGGTAGTGTTTGGAGTCGTGCGTCCATCGGAAACCCGTACACAGCCCGAAATCGGTCAACTTGATGTGTCCGTCGGCACCAATGAGGATGTTGTCGGGTTTTATGTCTCGGTGGATGAACCCCATCCGGTGGACCGATTCGATGGCGCAGACCAACTCGGCGATGTAGAAGAGGGTGAGGTGTTCGGGGAAGGTGCCCAGCTTGATTAGGAGGCTCATCATGTCGCCGCCGGGGATGTACTCCATCACAAAGTAGAGGCTTTCGCTGTCTTGAAACGAGAAGAAGAGCTTCACGACCCATTCGTTGTCGGCCTCCGCGAGAATGTCTCGTTCCGCCTTCACGTGCGCGACCTGGTTCCGTCTGAGGACGTCGACTTTACGGAGGGTCTTCATCGCATACAGCTTCTTTGTGTCCGTTTTCCTCACGAGCGTAACCACCCCGAAAGCTCCGACTCCGAGAGGCTTGACCGTGTCGAACATGTCGTGGTGGAGTTTCGCACGTTTGAGCCGTAGAAAATTGGACTCTTTCTGGTACAGGATACGTCGCATCTGCTCTGACGTGTTCTCGTCGAGATTTCTCTTCGCCATTTCCATCTCCAGTTTCATCCTCCGTTGCTGGCGCTGCTGGTAGGCACGGAAGATGTTCTCGATGTGCTGCTCGATGAAAAACTTGAAGGCTTCCGGGGGTACCGACGGTCTCTGGGGGGTCGTCTCTTCCTCGATGCCGCTGTCTGAAAGCTCCGCGCTGCTCGGAGTGAGTCGCTGGGCCGAGCGGTACGCGTGTTCGTCGACCTCTCGCATCGTTTTGTAGTTGTACGAGGACGAGAAGGGAGCGGAGAAAGGAGAGTAGGAGGTCGGGTGGACTTCGGGCGGCGGGGATACGTGAACGTGCGTGCGGGAGTCCTGTGAGGTGAGTGGGGTGGGAGGGCTCGTCTGGGTAATGGGGGGCGAGGTTCGCGTGGGTGAGGAGTCGTAGCAGGCGTCTGACTCGTACTGCGTCTGCAGTTGTGTGGGGGTGGGTATCTGTACGTGCATGTGACTCGTGGGAGACGACTTTTTCTGCGACTGTTGCTGAGATATGTGAGAGGAGTAGGAGGGAGGGGGTTGCTTGGCGGTGATGGAAGGCGGTGGAGGGAGATCGCTGTTGAGGTTTATGGGAGTCTGGTACCCGGGGACTAGAACTGGCGATATTCGCCCGGCGTCTGACAGGTTGTAGCGACCGACGCTCTCTTGTTTCGGGAGAATCTGAGTCTGTTTCTCGGGCGATTGCTGCTGTTGCCAGGAGTCGCGTGACCGCCCCGAGCCGGACCCCGAGCGAGACGAGGCCGTCGCCACGGCGGGGGGAGTCGCGGTGAAATCATCCGGAGTCGGGGTTTTGTCGCCGTGTCTCAGTGCCGTGGTGCTGCCGTCGCCGCTGGCCGGTCTTGTCCCCCTCTCCTGAATGGAGGTGAGCTTCTTTGACAGGACGTCCAGTGCTGCTTCAACTCCTGAACTGTTGCAAGCCACCAGTGCCATCACAGCTGCATTCTGTAGCGAGAAAGAGGCGAAGTTTATACGGGCTGCGTAACAGAATAACTAGGTTAGGTCAAAGCTCTGTGCGTTTCTGAACATGCAAGCATAGACAACGCTAATGGAGCGGAACGCGGCGCGCTTTTTCGCAGTAACTTTCCCGCCCCCTCGAGCTCTACGACTCGGCCAAACTAACTATTAGCTCGTGCCGAAGAGGTGCCGTCCAGGCGGCGGGGGCAAAGCGCAACACTCCTGCTTCTGCGATCCTACTCAGCAGCAAAGCGACGGCGCAAGTACACGTACGTACGCTCCTCCGCTTTAGCGGCGATCGGGAAGGAGGCAAGGGTAGAAAAAAAATACGCACTACACACACACACACCGGCTAGTAGCTGCCAAGAAGCTCGTGTATGTTTTGAAAACCACCGGGAATGCAAACGGTAACCCAACGCTAATGGCCGAGAAGCGATTTTACTCTAAGGAGAGAAAGAAAATCCAGCAGGTGTCAGGCCTACAATCACATGGATGATCTAGGCTGGCAAACCATCTGCTTGCAGAGTAAGCGGCTTTTTCGTCTGCCAGACGAAAGTCTATCTACCCTTGCCTGGCTACAACCAAACTACCCACCGCAGCCACAGACAGCTTATAGCGTACCTCGCTGTATCCGTAGCTGTTGATCAATTCCTCCAGCATCTTCTTGTCCACCGTCTCCTTCCCGGCCGCGTGGAAACCGGGGTCCGAGAGCCGTTTGTCCTTGAACTGCTGCAGATCTCGCCGTATCGTCTCGAGGTGTTGTTTCCTCACGTTGCTCTGGTGCGCTCGGTTGGCGGAGCCCTGGTGCGAGGAGGATAGGTGTTTTGTCGGCGTACTGCTAGTGACACGGTTTTGCATTCTGGGCGAGCTTGTGCCTCCGTCGGCAGGCGGTGTTTGTCTCCTGAGCCGTTCTCCCTCCTTTTCTCTCGAGTCGGCCCGCTCGTGGGACCCGCCTCGCTCGAGCACAGGCTGCCCGCCGCCGCTACCGGTCGACGCGGCGGCAGCGTCTTTGTAATCGTGCAACATCTGACTTTCCGCCGCTGTACTACTACTATTCGTCCCCGGATATGTCAGTCGGTGTTTTCTTCTCTCTTCTCTCCTATCCATGAGCATATAATTAGAACTATTCGCTAGCTTACTAAATCCGAAAGTGGACCAGCAGCCGAGTTTTACGGTCTACGTACACACAATGAGGCGTACAGCTTGCGCGAAGCCAGCAAACTACCGACGCTCGCCTACTTGACGCATACCTGACATTCCGCCCATTTTTGCCAACAAAGAGCCGGCGGAAGGAATGCTTGGAGGCTTACTCAGACACCGCCTGTATAAACGATACTGGCAACACTGTAAATATTGACCCCTTGTCCTATGTACTGGCCATTAGCACTCAATTAGGTAGGCATGAAATTTTCTTGTCAGAGTAACTGTGTTAGCCAAGGAAATTGGGACAAAGAAGGTTTTCCAAAAAAGACACTTTGGACAATGTGTTTAGGGAATTCCTTCATAACTCAGTGCTGTTTATCTGCAACAAGGGCTAATGGGTCACTGTCCTGTACATATACATAGAGTTGAACTAGCTTGCCACTCAAAATCGTCCCTGCTGACACATCTTCTCCGTGTATATATGCAGCGAATACACTAACACACCAGACAATCCTACAATACATGCATACATTCAGGTCTCTTGTGTATGCCATGTACCTGTGTGCATGTGCAAAATTGGCCCTGTAAATGGGGTCATTTGTTTATTTACGAAGTTGGGCACAAGACGTGAACACGTGGAGTGAATTGGCTAAGAGTGGTCTGCAAGTGCCGATATGGGCATTTTGGGCGAGTCAAATGAACCTGAATAGGTTTGAACTGTCGACTCCCACAGCCAGACCCCAGTAAAACATTTCTTTCCTATTCTCCCTCCCTGCTTCCATAACCTTCTTCCTTTTCCCTCCCCTCTCCTTCCCTCCTTCTTTCTTTTCCTCGTTCCCTCCACCTTCTCCCCTCTCTTTCTTATTTCTGAGTATAAATTGCTGTCAATTTATTCCTGAAAGGACCCCGGGAAGGGAGTGAGGCTGCCTTTAGCAAGGAGAAGAGTAGGTTGAAAAGTAAAGGGTGTGGATACACCACAACAAAAGTCAACCAACCGACTGAAAAGAGGAAGGTGGTTCCACCCACCCTCTCCTTTTTCAAACCCATTTCCTTTCCTTTCACCTCAAATCGCTACAACTCTGTGACCGTTCTTCCTGTGTTTTCAGCTCAAAAAAACTCCCAAATGACAAATAATAGCATCTAGCTGCGTCCAACTTTCACTACCTAACCTACCTAGCTAATCCATGCAAGCACTGTAGCTTGTATGAACTTATGCGCTCATGACCTCTACTCGTATGTCGATCCATACTTTAGCGCTTTCTTGCTTGGACAATGTGTGGGCACCCGTGCATAATACTGTGGGAACCTGCCGACTGGTCATGTCATACAATACAATACAATACACGGCAGAGGCTCTGTGGTATGCAAGCAGAGGACAAAGTATGGCTACTATACCAGCAGTGCGTTGACCTGATATGGTCATAAGGCCTACCCAGTGTGGGGGCAGGTAGCCTGGTTAGCAGAAATTAAGCTGGCCACAGACGCACACTCATTTGGTGCCGCCTACAGCCTAACCAGGTTAAGATAATACTCGCAGTCTGTATGCGGTTAAAGGTGAAGCATTTAGATTTATTCTCCCACAATGAATACTGAGCTGCGATATTATTAATTGTCAACCCAATTCTGACCAACTTTCTGCACACTAAAAGTATATACACTTGTAAGTGTACTCTAGTCAGGATACCACTAATAAGTATCAGATATCTCGAGGTTTGTGGGAAATTTTTTTAATGTGTCCAAAGGTTTCCCCTGTGAGTTTGAAATTCCCACGAAAAGCTAACAGAAGGCATCCCTATAAATAGACTCTACAACTGCTACCTTTGGCTATGTAGGTTTATCGACACCCACGCAATTTGGGCGAATCTTGCAAAATTTGATTAATGCAGCAAAACTGTCGCAAATTTCAATCCTTCTGCATAATTACTTTTACACATTAAACCGCACAAATCTATCCGTAAGTACCGCAGTGAAGAATTCACTTTTTGTATTGTATATATATACACAGTTTGGTTGTGGATATTGCGAGACGTTGTGGGTCCTCTTGAGGATATGTGGACAAAGTTGGGATTCCGGGTACACGGTTGGTTAAGAGTTTAAGCAAATGAAAAAATGTTTCTCCAAAAGGAAATTAGTCTGTGCGGACCACCCACCCACCCACCCACACCTACACACACACAGTATCCAAAATCTTTTTATATCTGTACATACATCTATTCTATGCACATTATATATGGACTAACAGATACGATGTGTTTTGATATAAGCGAAATATACCTCCACGATTACATAAAGTTGCGTAATCCGTCTGTGATCTATTACACGAAGCTTGTCACAGTTATGCAATCGACCTACTCAGTAGCTATCATGGGCATTGGAGGGATCGGCATGCCGCTAGCTAAGCCACCCTCCTTTTGCCATCTGGTATGTTTTCACTCAGGAATGTCAGTCCATGTCTTTGTTTCCTGGACTGTCGGTTGACCTGTTGGGAAATTGTTTGCAGAATGCTATGCAGCTCTCTCCATGAAATGCTCAAGTATGGAACGACCTTTTGAACTCTAGCTAAGTATACTCATAACTTTTCCGACACGTCGAATTCTTGCGGGCATAAATAATACCACGTGATGTCACTGCACAGTAGTTATACTGCGTATATAGAGCACTGCCGTTGAGCCAAAAAATTTTTTACCAGCAGCTTCCTTTTTTGCTTGGGCAACGTCTCATTTTTTCCCCTCATTTTTTGTGTACAAGACGAAAAATATTTTGAGCTATGTAGGTACGTAGGTGTATGCTTGTGTGAGACTGCAATATAGCCGAATCCATTTTCTAGATTTGGGAGGCAGTGAGTGGGCATGTGGAATGATTACCTCAAAGTCTACGGCTGTCTATGTGTGGTTGTATGCATGTACGTACATTAGGGCAGTCAAATATGTGGGTTTTAGACCCCAAATGGTAGAATTTCAACACTAAACACAGCCCACAGTATATGCATACATTCGCACGAATGTTTACATACATCACATCAAGACAGTATGTTCACGTACATTATCAATACACGTTGTAATATACGTACACAGCGTTGTAAGTCAATGTGGTGCACATTTCGTGGGCCGGGTGGTTTAAACAGAAAAACCAACCGTCCAAATGCTTCATTACCATCGCCAGACCTGCCAAGTGTGTGCATACATTCAGTGTCCACAACAGTTTAGTAAACAGTCTGCATTCTTTGTATTGCCGTAAGAAATGTATAATCCACATATTATATGTAGGTTAATGTAATGACCTAGTGTGATTTTTGTCCATCCATATACGCATGGATATTAAAATGCGTCATCAAACATGTATATGTGCAGTGCCCAGACAGGGCTCATGCTGTCCTGTCTGGGTACTGCAACAGATTTGTTGGATATAATTATATCCCTAGGCAAATGAACACTGCTTGCACATGAAGGATTGTATAGGCTGATACAATCCCTCAGTACCTAGCTTATACATGTCGGTTGCCTAGGGATATCCAACAAATGTGCATACTTCTTGTATGTATATGAAAGTACGTGTGCGTGTGTGTATCCATATGTATGTACAGTACTAAAATGTGTATGTTATGCTGCATTGTTACCCTAATACTGAAGTGTACTGCTTTACCGTAATACTGAATTGTTACCCTAATACTGCATTGTTTGTATGATCAGTTCCTAGAGGCGGGTGGGTGCAATTGATAGCGTGGGCGTATGAATTTCAATGCACCTCTAGCCTGGCCCCTTGGTAACCAGATAACTCAGAGATCAGTGGAACTTCATGCTTGAGGAGGTTTTGTATGCAGTGTGTATTTACGTATATCAGTCCACTCAGCACTTAAGGAGACGCAGTGAAATGGAGAATAAATGTAGCACATATGTTATGCACTCTGATACGTGTGATTTTAAGTTAATTCGTAAAGAGTTGAACCTTCTAAATATAATAGACACTCTCAATAAAGGGCACCTCTCTCTATATTAAACACTTGAACCAGTGCTACTATAGAGTGACTTGACAGCTGGCCTACTTGTAGTTCCACACACAGTAAAGAATTCTTAGACTGCATCATAACTACTTTACTCAAGAGCTTTCAGTATTATTATATACCACAGCCAGTGGTGTGTAAAGAGAGAGAGAGGGGGTAAGGGAGAGAGAGAGAGAGAGGGGGGCAGTGAATGTGTGTGTCTGCATTCAGGTTATGTATGTGTGGCAATCTTACCAGCATAGCAGTCAAGCCTTACCCACCGAGACAGTTCCAGTATGCACTCCGAGCAATGATAACTCAGCATCGTGTGTGTCCGTCCACACATACACACAGCAACCTTTTTCAAAGGCTGGGGAGAAGGCCTATATAGTATGCTTATTGAAGTGATATCGGCCCACCATCAGGGGCACTTTGGAGCTGCCGGCCAGGATTTCTGTGGGTGAATAGTTAATCAACATTTGCAGCAGGTATTTCACACAGGATAACGGCACATCCTGGGGCCCCGGGTGCGATACATTCCTCAAGTCTCTCTCCATCGGAAGAAGTCTCATACATTATGTAGGTGCTGGAAGCTCGTGAGCTGTGGGGGCTAGTGTTGATAGCGAGTGGCGCGAGCACAGTGTCCCACAGACACTCTGTACATTTCGTTCACATGATACTAGATGCAAAATATTGGGGTGCTTCAGCCTATAAAAACTTCTGGTCTGCATGAATTGGAAGTGGAAGGTAATAAAGTGTAGATAATTTGGTGTGTATATAGTTGTATCTTCTGCGAAGTTGTCTGCATGAATTGGAAGTGGAAAAGGTAATAAAGTGTTGATAATTTGGTGAGTAGTTGTACTTTGTTCTACTACCTCATTTGCAGCACTTACTTCAAGAGGCTGCCAGCCTTTGATTAGCGTGAATCCAATTTACAGGTTTTGTTTAAGAGAACCCCACAGCCAAAAGGCTCTGGTCCTACTATATGGCCCCATTCAGTTAGAAAAGCCTTTCTATATCTTCTCTTTATGATTCTTTATGCACATATTTTTCATGCATTCAACCTGGAGTGAAATCTGGGAATGAGACGGCTTATGTGGACGAAAAGCTAGTGCTAGCTGTTTTATGTGTTTTAGTTAACTGTGGTTGCTTTCTTCTATAGATGTGTTCTTTTGCCCTTTCTGTGGGCCAATTTACAACTCCTTTTTAGTCTCTCAGGGAAGTATATATGGACATATTTTAGGGTGTATAAGTGTGTTATTGTTTTGTGCTTGGCTTGTTATCACCGGTCTTCTACCTCTTCCTGTTGTGGAGAGAGTGATAATATCATTACTTAAGAACACCAGCTATGTGATGCCTTATATAGTGACCCTTCACATGTTCTTTGATCTTCATGGTTAGACACACATTCAGTCTAGAGCTAATATATCTTTTAGTGTCTCTTTGCATTAATGGTGTATATACGCGATGCACCTAATTGTTTATTTTTGCTGTCTGCTTGTGCTTGTGTGCCGTGACTATACTAACTGGCATGCAGACAAAGAATTTCCGCTGCTAGCTCCAGAAATATTTGGCCCCTGGTTACAGTAGCTACAGGGTGTGGGGAGTTCCAGTGGACCACAACAATTAAATTCAAGGACGAGAGAGAAAGTTCCGGAAGAACACGTGTGACGAGATGATCCAGATCCCAAGGTAATGCCAAACAGGACAATAACTGGACCGTGGGTAATCTGCCAAAAAGCTATGGGTCCACACAAGACGTGGGAGTCGGTTTATGACGTTTCGACCGCTAATTTTGTGTTTACACTCTTAGGCGAGAAAAATTTGGGACGGCATTGATAGTATACGGAGAGGTTTACCGATGACGAGAACTAGGTTTACGGAAACCACGTGTACCCTCGTCTCGGCGCTATAATAGCATGGCGGGAATCCTGGCGGAGACTGGCGAAATAGCGGCAGATTCGGACGACGCGAGCCGCCGCAGCTGTCCGGGTACGCCATGGCGGCTCTCCAAGAGTTCTACACGGAGCAGGAAGAGCGGCAGCGGCGGTTTGAAGCCGGTGCGATCGAGGGCGCTGGAGCAGGAGGCGTGGCCATCGAGGAAGATTGGGTGTGAATACTTTTTATTGGGGACAGTGGGGGGAGGGAGGTAATTGTAAGCCTTGTTATGAACTCATGAAAACCAACCATATTTCCTTGGGATTTGACACATTCACATGCATATTATAATTATTGGTATGTATGGTGTAGTCGATTTGTTTGTTGTGCCTTTGCCTTTCTACCTCGTATTTAGTTTTCACATGTATGTCAATGTGTCATTTCCCCCCACTGTTATGTCTGGTATCTCCAGAAACTGAGCCAATTCTGGTACGATGACAAAACAGCCGTCACTTTAGCCAAGGAGGCATTAGACGGAGGCAGCAGAAGGTATACATGTCACAGTCATATCAACGACTATTACTACATGTGATGGGCAATGGCCACTGGTTGTATGGTAATGTTTTTAAAATTGGACTAGTCACATCTACTTGCGCACGCACACAACCGTTAGCTGGATCGCTCCCGCTCGCCAAAAATGCACTGCATTCACCTCGTGTATACTTCTCATCTCCCCAAAATGCGTTGCATTCGTTCTAGTAGTGATATAGACTAGCACTGAATGCTGAGCGCATTTTGAGCAAGAGAGACAAACTTCTGACACGAGTAATCAGATGCATGCCAGGGTTTTTGCCAGAGAGCAATTAAAAGATCGACTGACACTTGCCACACATTCACTTCCAAAAGACTATACTATACACACATTTGCTTAAGTATATACACTTCTGTAAAGCACGGAGAAAAGAGGGGGGGACCCCCTGCTCCCGCTTTAGCTAATGCACAGGTATAGCCATTGTTCATCGAACTATAAGACGTCGTCGGTCACTAGGTTAGCCTAGTCGCACTCGCAAACAACGCAGAAAGCATTCTGAGTCGATTGGTGTGCATTTCTCGGGCAGTTTGCATCATAACATGCTTTGCGGACAATGTTTCTAAAAAGACTGGATCTCGGTTTGAGTATGCAAATCTAAGATTCCTAGAATCAGGGGAAGGAAATTTTTTTGTTAGTCGGTACAATTCACAGCCCCATTCAATTTAAATATCGCCATTCATATTGCATTCCACCACCTGTAGGCAACTATTGCGTGAAATTTTTTAACAAAAGTGGCCATTTGTTGACAACAAGTTTCGCGGCTTGTCAGTTTTGTGGAGACATGTTGGTTTCTTTCACGCCGCAGCAAATAATATAATGTTTTTTCGTCTTGTTCCAGAATTACAGAGCAAGAAAGATGATAATTTGCTATATACATACCACCAACATTAGTAACAGTACAGTATATATAAAGTCCCCGTAACATATATAAAGTGTAGCTATGTTTACGCACATGCATTATATCTGTGATGTGCATGTTTACAGCTAAATTCCATTGTAAAAATCAGCACCAAAATACTTTGGCCCTGTTTATAAATGTTCCAGGAAGCTATCTATGTCTCTAGGATCCAGCACGCTACCAATTCACTCTGACAAGGCTTCCCACAGATATCTACTCCTTAGCTAGGGGCAAATTCCCCACACTTGGATTAGTATACTTCACTGTAGGTCCACTCTGTGATTCATACCTCCTGTGTGTTTGAGGCAAAGAATCCTAGTTACCCGGCGTAACTGTGTGCCCTGGCACCTGTCTTTGTTCTGATGTGGTGGCCACCATTCTCATGTGGTCAAAATATAAAGTTTCTCTCCCCGAACTTCCTCTCGGTCCTTCCCTTGTTATGTTTGCAGCACATTAGCCACATGCTCGTAAACACTCGCACATCATGTTTTCATCGTGGTCAGGCGGGGAATCTGAGGGAGATTCTGAGTGAGTGAGTGGGGTTACCGATAAAGCAAAAGGAACGTTTTGAGAGGGTTCTTAGCAAGTGTGAGGAAAACACTTATTCTTCGTAATTTGGGGCAAAGGGCCGATTTCCTAGGAGGGTAGTAGCCGTAGATGGTTTTTTCTTCGGGATATGTGGGAAGGGGGTGTGGGGGGGGCGGGGGGGGACGGCGGGGGAAAGGAACGGAGGGGTCGGGGTCTTGCCTTTCCTCAAGAGCTTCAGGGGATGAGGGGATCTAATTGCAAGATTTATAAGCGCATGGCCGCCCTGGGTGTGGTGGAACCCGGGCACGCAAGTAGCACAGGCTCCCCATGGGTTGCTTCAAGGGGGGGGATTTCGAGATATTGGGGGAGGGGGGGGGATCGTGGAGAGGGGGACAAGGGAGGCAAAGACGTGGAAGGTCGTTTCAACCGAGAGATAGCGAGGGGGTTGAGCGTGTTATTTCATCTGATCCCTCTCACTTGTTAGCCGGAAGGAAGACGTACTCGTATGCCGAAAAGAGTGGGGGAGGGGGGGGGTGGTAGAAGAGTATGCAGAAGAGGGAATGGGCGGAGGGGAGGAAGGGCGTGGCCGGTGGGGGGGTGGGGTGCGAAGATCAGGGGTCGCGGCGTTAAGTATGGGGCCTAAAAGTAATGGAGGGTTGTGGGGTCTAGGGAGAGAGGGGTGGAATGGGAGAGAAAGGGCAATTGTTTTTTAGTCAAAGAATTTTCTGCAAGGTTTATTCCCCTATCCACTTCAAGAGCAGCCTCCTGTTGATTATATACTGCGGTTGGTCCGTATGAACCGTGGCCCTTGGGGCTCGACTCGGGCCGGAGAGGCCTAGGGTCCCCTTAGTCCCGGTTTCTTTCATCCTGAGGGGACTGGAAAGGGGCCACCCGAAACAAGATGTGGAATTTATGCGTAAGAGGGGGAGCTTCCTGTTTTCGGTTCAGACAGTGGGTGGCGGGGGCTAACGGGGTATTCTTCTCCCCCTCAAATTAAAGGTTAGCAAGCGTGAGGGTGGGGAGGGGGGGGGGGGTGAGGGCTTCATGGAGGGGAGATCCCCTAAGATTGGTTATACTCACAGGTTTGGTTGAGCCAGCCAAGGAAACCCGTCGAAGATAATATTGATGGTAACATGGAGACCGGTTTTAGCCGAGTTGCAAGGTTATAAAGCTCTAGATTTTTCGGCCTTAATCTTGGCGAAGGGTGTAGGCGTACTTTAGTGATGAGGGAGGAGGGTCCGGTAGTGGTCTGGAAGGGGACGGGCCGGGTTCTTGCGGGGGTGAGTTGCAGACCGATCCGTATGACCCATAATTTGGTAGGACACTGCAAGGGGGGGGTGGGGGTCCTAAGGAGGAGATCATTGGCCTCCAACTTCCATTGACGAACAGCCACGGGTGTATGAGCCCCTGTAGGGCTTGAGAGCTAGGGAATGGAGTCTTACGAGGATAGAGGGGGGGGCGGAACTTTCGAAAGAAGGGGTGGGGAGGGGAAGGTGTTGGTGAGGAGGCCCCGAAGGCGGGAGGGAAGGATGGAGAGCCCGAAGAAGGAAGGGGGGATGAGAGGAGCAAGGGAGGTTTGGCGGAAGGATAGGGAACGACAAAGGACGAAAGGGGGAAGGTATCTGGGGAGAGGAATGTTGGGAATCAGGGGAGAAGGGAGGGGAGAATAGAAAGGGGAGAGGGGGAGTGGAGAAGAGGAAGAAGAGGAAGGAAATTTTTTTTTGGTTCTTATATGAATTTCCGTGTTTCAGTGGATATCATGTGTTGAAATCACATGTAACTCCTGCTTCTTCTCCTTGTTTACTTCCAGAACCCCTTTTGAGGAATTTCATGATCACACAAGATACCCGGTTTCCTTTAGAAAACTCTTTTGGGGAATTTTTAACATTACGTCACTGCTTGATCTCGTTACAGTGGATGGGTGTTTAGAAATGATGTAATTTCCACTTTGTGGGGAAATGATGTAATATCATTAGTTTATGCTTATCTTGTTAAGAGCTTAATTACCGTTTTCACCTTTGTTGTGGTGCATGAATGTTGTTCACTATAGTTTATGATTAAAACAGCCAAAATTTTCTCTCACAGAATTGCCTGCATTTCCTGCCCGACGTTATATGCCAAGCTGCTCCAATTAAAGCCCGCCGATTGCGAAATCTTCCTTCTCGAGTACGACACGAGATTTGCAGTCTACGGCGATAGCTTTGTGTTTTACGACTACACAAGTCCTCTGGAATTGCCGGAAACGATGGAGGAAAAGTCGTTCGATGTCGTCGTCGCCGACCCGCCATACCTGTCTGAAGAATGCCTTCAAAAGACGGCGCAGACGATCAATTTTCTGGCGAAAGAAAAAAATCATTTTGTGTACCGGTAAGTTAGTAGCCATAGAGATTAAACTGAAATATCTTAGTTCTGTTAGTGATCTAGTGCCATTCTCATCGATGTGTAGCACCCAATTTCTTAAATTACCATACCTTCAAAATAATATTATATCAGGAATTATTTTATGATGGCTTTGCAGGTCGAAATTAACCCAATCCACCACAAAACGTGCTTTTTTCAATACGCTAATGTGCGTCGATGCACGATGCAATAATACACTTATCAATCTAGGTTTTGTGTTCTATGTTGCCTGTTTCCCTGGAGACTATGTGATAGAGCGTAAGGAATTTCAAGGAGTTAATTGCCTCGGTCAGATGAATGCGTATTTTCATTTTTGGGGGACTGTCCAATTACTTTCAAATTTGTTTCCAATTTCGGTGGAATTCTTGCGGTTTGCCAGCTGTGATATTCCTTTACATGTCTTTTTAGATAGGTGTCCTAATTCTGACGGGGTGTCCTGATTAGGTTTTCGGATGGTGTGCATAAAGTGATATGCATAATGATAATGACAGTATTGAGATTCCAACACAGATGTGGTAATTTACTATTCTTTGATAATTATTTACCATTCCTGTCGGATAGCTAGAAAATACCGAGTGCACTATAATAATTATACACATGTGCATAAGACTGTCATGTGCTATAAACCCTATATCACGGATCAGGACACCTCACTGATCAGGACACCTCACTGATTAGGACAACTCACTGATCAGGACACCTCACTCATCAGGACAGCTCACTGATCCCGAGACCTCACTGATCAGGACACCTCGGTAATTTCACAGCATGTTGGGTTCACCAAATTGGCAAAAATAGAACGGTCTCCTTTTTAAAGCGAATTTCTTGTTTACAGGTGGTGGGTCATAACAGAAATAAGAGTGTGTGGATCATTTCAACGGTTGGGTAGGTTTCCAGTGAAAAATGTGTTCACGAAATTCATTACATAATTGCCTGACCTGCAAGTTCAGCTATGAATAAAGAAGAATGTTAGGAATGTGGTGGAAATGCATGCCCGACAGCTGGCGAGTGGCACACAGCCTGTTGTGCCCTGCTGTCTCAATAATGCAGCTGTCCTCCCTACTTACTGCATGGCTGCAGTTTACTCACTGTATATGAGTGAGCGGGAAAATTTGCTTTATGGTAGCAAATGTTAATTCGGGGGTGAAAAATTTCACTGGTTACCAAGTGTCCTGCAATATTATGTAGTGTTGTCCTCACAAAATTTGGTGGATAAAAATTTGCGATCCTTAAAAAAAGGTTCATGGCCACAGAGCAATTTACTTTATAGCTGGTCATTCACGACAACAGAGAGACAGCACAACAAAGACAACAGATGCGGGACAAAACTGTCATATATACTTAGACATATTAGTAATTGTAGAGAATTCGACTGCATTATAATTATGACAAGTGGGATAAATTTAATTAATTTTACTATTGTAACTTGGGACGAACTGTACTGAAAACGGGACTCCCGAAATTTTGCCAAACTACGTTAGAACAACACCCCATAATAGGTGTATGTATGAGGACAGGTATATATGTGACACATGGGTTCTGGAGGGTTATCTGGAAACACGAGTTGATTTGTGGCTGAAAGGGGTGGCAGCTGGACGCCATTGTCGCAGCCAAATTCGAAAAATGGGTCCAACATATGCTGCTGGATGTGTTACAATGGATGCTATCGTGCTCTTTTGACAGAGGGTAGGGTTGAAAGTGTGCTTATTAGTGGTTGTCGCTAACGATAGAAACTCCAGAGATGAGACACCAATGAAACGAGTGATAGTGGCCACGTGGTGTAATCCTAAGATTTTAGGTTACGTGACGGAGCAAACGTATTATTGTAAGCTGTCATTTGTAAGGGGTTAATAATGCAAGAGTTGTTTTTTTGGGGAGAAAAATGGTGTCAACAAAGTATGGTCTGTGCATGATAGACATACATCAGTTTTTGTTCTCTCACGACATGTGTTGCTGCAATTAGAACGATGTGCAATTTCTAGCTCCAAAGCTACCTTGGGCACCTGGTGTCCTACCTTGTTGTGTGCAACTGTGTTGTTTGTGTCTGTGTATGGGTGGAGGATGGGAGGTGGAGGGTGACTTCTTTCTTTCTTTTCTATTGGCTAGTATATGCTATAAATATACTTTTCGTGTACGAGATGGCCTTGATTGTAACTAGAGAAGACAGTAGACTGTTGTGCTCTAGAAAAAAACAGAGTAGCTAGCACACGTGTATACGTGACTTCTCCTATGAAAGGCACGTCGGATACTCGGTGCGATCTGGTTAGCTATACCATAAGATGATCTAAACCTCCGGTCGCAGTCAACTGCACACCACTACACCACACTGGGCAAGTCGATCTCCTTACCGGCAACACGGCTACAAAGATAGCTGAACTTCAGTGGAGCGTGTGGTGTGCATATACACGTTGCAAGTTTTGATCATAAAGGGGCATTTGTGTATGAGTGTTTGTGAGTGCGAAAGGTTAGCTTTCTTTGCTGGATTAGAATGCCGTCTTATTGATTATCTACCTTTGGCACACACGGATTTGAGCAGTGTGTTTTTGTTCACCGTATGAGTGGCAGGCAGGCAGACGTCAAGTAGTAACAATGGGGAAGACACGTGTAATCCAGCACCAAATTGACTTTCATTATGTAATAGTGAAACCCATGTAACCACTTTAGAGGAAAAAGCGAGAGAAACATTCTTTCACACGGAAAGAGTGGCATACACATTTTTATTAAGTTCTTAATTTGGGGACTTGATCTAAATTTTCCTGATGTATATACGTACGTGTGCATGCAATTCATATGAAAACGGAAAATCGCGAGAGTGTGTGAGTGTTCCCTGAAGCTGCTGTTTGTTTTGCGAGAAACTGAAGATGTCCCTCCCAAATTCCCTCGAGAACCTTTCCGCTTGCTCCCCCAGCCCTTGCCACAACGTCGGACATGTGTGTTTCGAAATCGGGCCACATATTGAAATGATAACACAGAAGTCGAGGGCGATAGTACGCAGCGAGGACAATACACGGTGGGTGTTGAGGCGAGATTAATACGACCGCGTGTGTATCGTTCTTCACTGAAACTGTTTTTGATTTCGGATCTGTTTAGGTTCAACATGGGCGTCGACTTTCCCAAAATAGTGCCACCGCAAAATAAAGCTTCTCCCCACTGCCCCATACTGCAGTGTATAATTTCGTATGTTCTTATGAGTGATGGAATGCAATAGCACAGGTGATAGGGAGGTATGAGGGTTTATGGGAAAAAAGCAGGCATTCTTTGCACTTTCATTCATTCGGAGGTTTTACTCTCTCCCAAATCACAATGGATGACGGATCAACTTGGATGTAGTAATGGGATATGATGAAGTCTAATTGGCAAGTGAAGCGAGCTCACCCCAATGTGGGATTTTTCTATCGTTGCGACCCGCACTACTGCCTGCCGCACTCCGCATACAGTAATATTCTAATATAGGAGAGCTGAAAAACTCAACTTCTCGCTGCATTCCAAAAATGCAGTTGCTGCTATTGTACAATACGATTTGAAGGTTGCGCAATGCTTAGACGTGCAGTTGCCATGTAAATACGTTGGAGAATGCACATTCCGAACACTCCAGAGACTCTGCGTATAAAATGGGGTGTACCGGTTTAGTCAAAATTTCTTCACGCTTCGGTCAGAGAGAAGATGGCCAGGTCAAAATTAGAGTTGCCTGCACCGGTGCGAAATCGTGGAGTTACAATACTTATCTCCTCTCCTCCCCTCCCCTCCTCCCCTCCCCTCTCACACCCTGATCTATACCAACACAGGCAAGGTGATGGAGGGTTTAGCTAACTGAACTACTCTCCCTCAAGATGTGCTCCTTTCTTCCTCGACACACGAGAAATTTGGCAAACGATTTCAGATGTTTTGTAAACTATGACTCAAAATTGCTCAATCCGTCCTAATTATGACGCAATCTTTTCCAATTCTCCATAAGAAAATTGTTTCATTTGCGGAAGTCATTAATTATTGTTTATGATACCAAATATGATGATAATTTAAAAGATATTGCATACATATGTAGTGCTGTCATGCACGGCTATCTAAAAGTCAAGTTTGGAACCAAAAATAACATTTCACTGTCCGTACCGCAAACCACGTGTTTTGATTCCACGTCAAAAGAGTTGACAGGAAGTTTATCGTGAAGAAGGTACGTGACGTCGAATTTGCCCTGTTTGACGTGCCCCGATAGCCAGGGGGTGGAGTTAGGGGCGTGGTCTGTTGCCCGGTGTGAGGAGGGAGGGTTGTGACGGTGGGAGAGACGAGAGGAGGTGAGGAGGGAGGAGGAGAGGGAGGGAGAAGGGGGGGAGGCGTCCCAGTGCCAGAGAGTGCAGTCCTGGGAGCAAGTGAAGAGGTGGTTGGGATGGTGTCGGTGGAACTGGATCTCCCATACTGGAATGGAACAGAGACGACAGAGCTCGCTTGAATCATAACACACACACACTGGAACAATGAGAGTGGGACACCAGATGCCCAGCCACGAGAACTGGGGCAATCCAATTACGTATTATAGAGGTATGAAAATCTACTTAACTGTAGTACAACGTTTACCAGTGGGCCATCAATCTGTCTAGTACAAAGACCTAATGAAGTAACGAGGGATAACCCAATTAGAGCTTTTCATCAAAAAATTAGCGTAATTAGTTTAAGGCCATTATAAAAAGTGCCCTCTCGGCAAAAGAACATGTGTGCGAGCGTGCACTGTTGAGTAGCACCATGTGGTATGTACACCAATGGATGTAGTACTACAGTGGAACCTCGTTAATATGAACTCCAGGGGACCATAAAAAAATAAAAGGAATTTCACTATAACAGCTAGTTGTATTAGTGTTATAATGCCTGGGGATTTCAAAGTGGTGTTCGTATTAACGAGGTTCCACTGTAATAGCTTACTGTCAGCGGTGTGACCAGATAGGATGGAGACAGGGAGTTTGTCTTGTCGCAGGTCCCACAGACAGACTGTGCCGTTGGATCTACCCACGGCCACCAGGTGAGGCTGGTTGGGACATCTGTCCAGACATCGGAGCGGGTGGGAATCTCCAGAGCTGGGGGGAGGAGGGAGGTAGAGGAGAGAGAGATGGAGGGAGGGGAGGGAGAGAGGTAATGGGATGGGGGTGGATGAAGTTTGAAATTTGCTTCTAGATACGAATGTTCACTAGAATGCATCTTTGGCAGGTAAACGTGAGTAGTACAGTTTTTCGCACGCGTATTAGAATCACGTACAACATTACGGTATGTGCAGTGCCCATCACGATAAATAAATCCCACACTCGGATGACTAGGTCGCTTTAGCAAAATCTATTACAGCCACTGACGGGAGAAAATATCCACATGTTGCCCGTGGACCTCAAATATTTTGTGGTCATGGGCAGCCATAAAAAAATTTTTTAAAAAATTGAGAAGCTTAACTCAAGTGGGAAGAAGAAAAAAGAGGAGATAAACTACTAAATCTACAAAGATGGAAAGATCCAAAAGAGGGGGGGGGGTACAAGAAACACACACAGTCCTACACAATTGAACACGTAGCTATATATATAGCCATGATGTAAACAAAGCCAGATTTGAACCTTTGAAGTCGAGTACGACGAAGACACGCCGGCACCGTTGGCAAGTACGACAAAGACACGCTGGCACCGTTTGGAAAAACTAACTCCCTTTCATCTCTACTTGAAGACGGCATTCGAGTAGCTGCCTCCGTATATAATATGATCTATTTACCTTTCACGCCCACTCTCTGGCTGTCTATTGACCTTTTTGACACACACGACACAACTGAGGTAGTATATACATTCATTCATACATACATACACATATATACTACATGTACATAATAATACGGACTTAACAGCTGATCCTATAACGAACTATTGCAGTATCTAATGGCCTTACTGCATCAAGCTGGGGCTAAAAGCTCTCGCTGTGTGTGTGTGTCTGCTTGCCACACAAGCTAGGCAAAGGATTGAAATTACAGTACTTTCATAACAGAGACACAGTTCAAAGTTGGTGCAGTCTGCACGAAATGAGTGGGAGGCTAAGTAGGTAGGTAGAAAGCAACCAACAGACGTATGCACGCATGCTTGTAGTAGATATAGCAAGATTAGAACAGCAATGACACGTGTACCAAAACATGTGACGGCCCACTCTCTGGTTAACTTACAGAGACAGACAGACACACACAGTCTCTGTGTGTGTGTGAGTGTGTGTGTGTGGGTGTGCAGTGGGTGGCGGGATGGAAAGTGATCGCAGAGCCACGGGGCAAATGCCATTTCAGCGACAGCTGCGGGCAATTGGCCTAGGAAAACAAGTGGCGGAGCTAGCAACAATCGCCGAGATTACATCATGTGTGTCGCGAATTGCTTCCAATTATATATATTCATTGGACATTTCCTCATCTGTGAAGCACACACACACTGCGAATGTGTGGAACATTATTCACGAGCTGTAAACCGGTGAGCTAATCCGGTAAACAGTAGCATACACATGTGATGTCACCGACACACACACGTTTTAACTGCCACAAGCACACAAAGTACTATTCACGAGCTACAATGCACCACAGAGCTATGCATAAAGCCACAACATGGTTTTCACTGGGCAAAAACAGCAATTTACTGAGTGTGTGGTTTTGCCCACTCAAGACTCAAGTGTCTGTCGACTTCGGAAAGAAAAACACGAAAAGGGTTTCGGATTTCCCCCTTTCTTCACGAAGAAAGCAGTCAAGGTTGTTCTTTTCCCACTCAACTGAAGCTGTACCACAGACTAATAGGGTTCCACATGTGGGTGTGTGAATTTACCCTCCTCCTCACTTACTCAGTGAGCATACAAAGCAAGTGTGGGTACATGACAGTGGTACAGATACTGTAAGTAGGCGAACAACTGCCCCACAATCCTACATAACTATGCACATCGCTACTATTTGGACTATTGTACTGCATACTCCAGCTACAGTCAAGGTAACCATGACGGTCGGTTGACATGTCCATCCTCCCACTCACTTGATAAAAGTACGAAAGGTTTAGGTCACCCTATTGTCTACAATAATTGTTTGCGCTGCAATCTCCAATGTTGGTTGGCATGTCCTTCACCCCACTTGCTTGCTAAAAGTAAGAGAAGTTTAGTTCACCCCAAAAATTGTTTGCACTGCACTCTCCACTCACCCACACATGTATGCTCCAAAATGACCTGGACAATAATTTCAGTGAATAGTTACACATGTGATACTCACATGACCACAGTTACACATGTGATACTCACATGACCATGATTCTGGAGGGGGTCTCAACGGAGGGGGCCCTGAGGTCCCACAGTTTCAGCTGCCCACTGGAACTGGTGGCCAGCAGCTCAGTCTTCATTGTACTCACCAGACCTGTGACCACTGCATTGTCCGCATTCTCTGGAGGGAGAACATAATGCTGCGTATAAGTATACTGCATTTCATTTGTATTGGGCATGATGCTGGATAACCTGTGTCATCCCTATTTACTAAGTACTTCTGTACTTAGTGATATTATGTCAAAGCTTTGCAGGATTATTACTGATGGATGTACATAAGAAAATTAATTGTGTTTGCACAATTTTTTTCCTCTTGCGTCCACATACACCCACACACAATGCATAAAATCTTGTTAACTATTAGCTTTCAGCAATTCTTGCGAATAAAAAAAAACAAGCAATTTTTTCCCCCAATCAACATAAACACTCTACAGTTAAAAAACAGCACTAACAGCAGGTATTCTATCACACAACAAAGTATAAAGGACTCAAAACATTCAGAATTGTCATTCACCTATGGTCCTTAGGGGGGCTGAGTTCTCAGGATGGAGAATGTTTATTCTTCCGTCCTCTCCTCCCGTTGCTATGGTGAGTCCACTGGTTGCCACGGCAGTGACTGGGCGTGGCTGGAGGCGGGTGGTGATGTAATGGATTCTGTCCCACTGCCGTGACCGTGTAATGGTCTGAGGGATTGGGGGAGGGGAGGAAGAGATGAGGAAGAAGGAGAGGAAAGGTTAGAGAGACAGGTGATACGAATGGACATAAACAGGAAAGTTGCGAAGACCCGATAATATCATCATCAACACACTCATCGGAAACCAGGAACTCCTCACAAGTGTGTCCTCTATTCTCACTCGTGTATAGTATGACTTTTGGCCAGGGACTCTTTTCATGAACTGTTTGTCAGTAATCATTAGGTAAGGTAAGGTATTTAAGTATTTGTTGTCTACCTTTTGTGGAGCTCTAAAGTGGAGCAGTGCTACGGAGCCAGACGACAGACCGACAGCCATCCTCTCCTCGTCCACAAACCGTAGGTCCATCACGTCTCCCTCCACTCCCACCTCACACACACGGGCCGGTTCAACGAATCCCTCTTCGGAGGGGTAGGGAGCCGAAGGGGAGGAGGGAGGGGAGGGTGGCGCAGATGGGTCATAGCGCCACACTGCGACTCTATTCACCTGAAAGATGATGAAAGAAGCTTCTTTTTGCTTTCAGCACCAGGGATTCAATAGCAAATGTTGCTCCTTTACGCATAAAAATAGCTATAAACCCATTAACGTTAACGTATTGGGAATCTCTGTAGCACTGCGCTCTGAGCGAGCGCGCGGCTGAACAGGTACTCTAATTGACGCGCACCTTGTCGTCCCAGCTCCCCGCGACGAAGACATCGGAGGGACGAATGGCGCCCGACGGCTGAGGCTTCCAGCGAACTCTGGAGATCTTGTAGCCCACGTACTTGGCCACCGACGTCCCTGCTGAGCCATCAGCCATCGGATCGATCCCGTCGTCGACCGCGCTTTTTGCAAATATAAGCGCACATGAGCGCTTGTGTCTTTGCACCACGTGTCGAGTGACGGAGGGGTTAAATCACTTCCCTTGGGTGTCGTGTAGTTTCTAGAGCGTCACTTGGCGGCGATAGCGGTGGGAGAGAAGGGGATATGGACGGAGAAAAGCTTCTTCTGTTGGAGAACGCGGCCAAAGACGTCATGGTGAGCCGGGAGACAGCTGCCTGTGGCTTATCACCATAGAACGAGGGGCGTGGCTCAGTTGGTCGGCTGCAATACGAAATGAGATCGGCCCTGGTGTGATTGCCGTTTATATCCCTACCTCTTACGATAGCTGAGAGCAGGGAACGGTGCAATGAAAGAACGGTTGCTCTGCGTGTAAAGCGATTGGCCCAAATTGGGTTTAGTAGTGGTATTTTGCATTCGTCACTCACTGAAACTCATGCACACAATAGGTGAATTGCTGCCAAAGGTAGTCTGCTTTCAATGTATGGCAGTCTACATACATATACCGACCATGAATTTTTCAAAAAGGTTTTGCTTATCGGCACAAGAGAAGGGGTGTGTCGTGTTGTAAATGGAGTTCTCACGTGGTCTATTTCTCTCTCTCTCTCTCTCTCTCTCTCTCTCTCTCTTGCAGTCTCCGCCGTATGCAGTGTCGGTGGAGAAGAGGAGAGAGGCCGAGGCCATCTTCATGGACCTCAAACAGACGCAGAGACCCTACGATGCATGCAAGTTCATTCTCGGTCAGACGCTAACAACACCCCTGGTGTGAGGGGAGTGTGGGAGATGATGAATATCTTGAATCTTTTGAGAGAATAATAGAACGATTTTGAAGTTTTATTGGCAGTTTATATAAGTGATAAACTTAAGAACGAACTGAAATCTTTCACTGGGCCCTTATAAATTTAGCGCTGTCACATTCACTTTAAAGCTAGTAGTTCTCTGTCAAATCACAAGATTAAGTTCTTTTTTCCCGAGAAAATGTTACAATTATATTGTGTTAGATGTGTCTCTCCACCCCTCTACCCCAGAGAACAGTAGTTCAGACTACGTGCTGTTCCAGGCTGGGTCCACGGTTAGAGATGCAGTCGTCAGAGAATGGGAGGTCCTGTCGGGAGGGGAGAGGGTGGGGCTCAGGGGATACCTTCTCCATTACATCACCTCCAGACCAGAGTCAGTTCACATACATCAGTGCAAGGTTGTACATACTGTATGTGCATCATTTTTGCTTGAAAATGTCCGTGCCCCTTCAAAATGTGTATGGGCAAGATTCGTCCCTGGTTCTCACAAAAAGAGTGATTTGGCGATTTTGGTGGCATGCCAATGTGCAATATGTTTTAGAAAGAAGCTTTGTTGGAGGTATAATCTCTCTCTCTCTCTCTCTCCTCTCTCTCTCTCTCTCTCAGCCTAGTGTCTTATGTGAGAGAGCAGCTGGTGCAGACGGTGGCTCTGATGGTGAAGAGGGCAACACTCGAGGAAGATCGCAGAGCTCTGTTTGACTCCGTCTTCACGACCGTCACCCAGCTACTCATGACCGACAACTCCAAGATGGTGGGTCTGTAACACCGCCATTTTCACGGCATATTGAACACTACTCACTTCTTTGCCTGTGAGCACATATACACCAACTTCTTTGCCTTTTTCTCTACCTACAATGCTCTAATCTGAGGTAAACCAATGAAAAAACATGTATTCATCTGTGCTAGCACTTGCGTGCTTACATTACTCCCATACATTTTCTTTCTGTTTATACGACCTTGAGTGTACTATAATGGTTTTAATTCGCTTATGCCTAAAATCCTATTGTCTAAATAGGGTGCCAGCTTACGAGTTTGCTATCCCACAAAAAGTGGGTCGGACTGTATGTATAATAAATGACGTCATCAGTACATCGCCATTACGTCATAATTTATTCCACAGAGGCAGTTGAGTTGTTCTCTGCTGTCGGCTCTACTGACCGAGTTCTCCAACTCGTCCGGATCCAGTAACATTGGTATGCCCATCGAGTTCCACGTCAAATGCAAGATCTCCATTCAGGTGTGTTCTCTAAATGCCATATTGGGCGTGTTCTCTATAATATACTTCGACATTGGGAATCAATAGCTTCTCTACTACAATGATCATAAGCTTGTAAAACACGTATATACACTATTTGTAGCAAGATTCACATCCTTTTTAACGCACACCTATTTAGGATGAAGAGCTACTTCGTATCCTGGTGTTCACGGTCCAGTTTCTCCGTCAGTACGTCTCCATTGATCTCTCTTCCCTCCCTCCCTCCCACCTCTCCCTCCTCTCCAACTTCCTCCATCTCCTCTCAAAGATCCTCACCTGGGACTTCCAGATTGCGAAATTCTCACCCGTCCCGCTCAATATCTCCGACGTTGCCACGGTGACCCTGCGACCGCCGCGGTCGTACGCCGCGACCTTTCTCGACCCTTCGTTTCTGGAACTCTTGTTCTCGCTGCTGGGGAAGATGTGGTGCAACGAGGACCTGTTACATCATCTTACACAAGGTCTGACTCAGTTGGCGTCGCTCACGAAGCCAGTGTTGGCGTCTGTTGAAGAACAGCAGAGGTATCTTAGCAGTTTCCTATCCGGTCTTCTTGGCTACATATCTGTCAGGTAAGCAGTGTATAAAATGTGTATTGTATAAGCTCACAGGGGTATATATGTATAATATTATATAGGAGACTATTGACAATTATTGTATGAGTTTTCCCCAAAAAATGTATAATTTTAAAAACTGAAGAGAATTTCGGGGGCATAAAATACTCACCGTTGCAAAAATTACACATACTTAGGAACAGATGATGAAGGTACGTGTACACTATGGAGGGTTGAATAGAGAGTTTTTCCTGTTCTTCTTCTTTCTCCCAACCTCTCTCCCTCCCTCCTTCAGACCTGACCTGACAAGACAAGAGGTGTACGGACTGTCGTGCATTCTTCGTCGCCTGGCGACAAATTTCAGCCCCTCCCTCTTCTCCTCCCTCCCTCCCCCACAGCTCTCCCTCCTCGTCTCCTCCCTCACCCAACTCACCTGTCTCACCGCTCACAAGTCTGCCACGGAGGAAGAGGTGCGGGGAGTTCAAAATACAGAATTCTGATTTGAAATTTGCATAAATCTGCGGCGCTAATATGGTGAGGGGTTGCATAATAATTTTGAAGAGTAAATTTTTAAGTGTTCTAGCTGAATACCTGGACTATAGCTGGAGAGTGCTGGAAAAATTGGGGGGGGGAAACCAAATGCGCTATACCAACGTGTACGCATGCACGAAGCGTTATGTATACTGACTACACTTTACTTCACTTTATTTTCTCAACTCATCTCTTTCTTGTGTAGTTAAGTAAAAGGGTGCTAGAAATCAATATTACGTCCACCCCCGTGCGTGCAGGGGTCTAATAATTGGTTCTGTGTATATCTGTTATAACCCCACATTGTAGGATGCATAAAGTGTTGCACATGCTCTACAGGGGAGCGAGGAGTCTCTAATGTATATCTGTTGAGATCCCACATTGTAGGGATTCATAAAGTGTTACACATGCTCTACAGGGGAGCGAGGAGTCTCTAATGTATGTGGAGTCACTGGACCACTATATGGAGGTGTTTGTCAGTCTCCTTACGGAGCCACACCCCCTCCCTCCCTCCCTCCTCGCCCAACCCTGCATACAAGTCTTCACCTCTTACCTCAAGAGCAAACTGGTCGCCCCTCGCGGCTGGCAGAGCCCCCATCGCGAAGAGGAGGAGATTTTTGAACTCGAGGAAGACGACCGGGAGGCGTTTTCGGACCAGCTTCGTAGCATTGGTTGCATCGCTCGCTCAATCCCCCACCGCTCCCTCCCTCTCCTGGTCCAGACTATCCACCAGTGTACCGAGAGCTGCATGGAGAAGTTGGAGGTCATCCGCCGTGACTCTCTCACGCTCTACTCGAAGCAGAACGATCTCGACAGTACTTACGAGGACCTCCATTGGCTGGTTCTCATTTCCAGCTTCACGCTATGCGATATCACCAGAGGTTAGGACACCTTCTTTCACTTCACTTGGAAGGGCAGTGTTTGTGAAAACTACGAGGTAGAAAGGCAAAGGCAAAGGCACAACACAAATCAACTGTATATCTGTTATGACCCCACATTGTAGGATTCATGCACGAGCACTTGAAACCAAGTTGTGTCCAATGTTGCAACCCTCACTCTAAGTAGATGCTGGTGTGTCACTGAAATTTCGTAATCCTTGCTTTGCCCATACCAACTGTGACTATTGCTTTTACTCGCTAAAAATGTGTTGCGTTGGCTTTAGTACTTGTCATTATGTACTGTATATCTCTCCATTAAAAAGGAGAAGAGGTCCAGATACCTGCTAACCTGATGCGCTACTCCATCCAGAGACACAAGGAGCTGGGGTCAGAGTCCGTTGCCACGGAGGACGTATCGCAGCTGGTCTGGCGGGAGGGCGGCGGGGGGCAGGTGGACCTGGGCTCCTCCAATCTCGACCCAATCGTCTCCCTCTTCTTGTCTCTCTGTCGCCTGTGTATGGTGGAGAAGACATTCATCAGTGGAGGGTTGATTGACATTCTTAGTCCGCAGCTCAGCTCAACTCTTGTCTGGTGTCTGAGTCATGTGACTCATCCCTACGTCCACCTCACCGAGGACAGCTACGATCAGGTTAGAGATTTAACCCCTTTACATTGGGTTAATCACGTCCACCTCACCGAGGACAGCTACAATCAGGTTAGAGATTTAACTCCTTTACATTGGGTTAATCCCTTACCAACTGGTTCGTGTTAAAAACGTAGAGCTTTAGGGTTTGGTGTGAACCTATGTACAGTACATGTAGATGCTAGTCAGGTGGATGTTTTAACTCCTTGTCATCAGGTTAAACTGACCCCTCTACCTCTCGCCAACTACGAAGTTTTTGGTACACTTTCGAATGACATTTTACCTTTTCTTACTGGTTTTTTTCTTTTAACCCCATCCTCACTGTGCAGGTCAGTCTTCCCCTGCTGTCGGTGTTTGGGAAGGATGCTCCTTCGAGTCAGTGGCTGTGCGTGTTTTTACTGGACAAGGTGACCTTTAACCTCTCTGTCTGGTCAATGGAGGAGTCTGTTGCCGTGGATACCGTCGCACTACTGGGGACTCTCGTCAAGAACACTGACAGGCAAGGAGAGAGAAAATAAACTCGTCATTTTTTACTGGAAAGTGAGGTTGAGATATCATTAGTTGTCTGAATTTCGTGTGTGTGTGTGCCGTTACCAGCCTTGCGTGTGACTACGCCTTATATACTTCACTTTATTGTCGTACATGTACTACATATGTCTCCCCCCTCCCCCCCAGAGCGTCTGTGATTGTGAAATGTGATATGATCTGGTCCCTAATGAGAGGGTTTGCCTCCGGAGGACCCGAGGTGGCCCCCCTCCCTCCCCGGGCCCAGCGAGACCTCGTCTGCTCCCTCGTCAGATGTGCAGTCAGAGAGTCCAGACAACCCTTCCTCTCTCAGGTTTTATAATTCAAAGTAACTATCAATAGTTAGACACGAGTCATTGGAAACTACGCAGATTTAGGACGTGATTTAGGAAGCCTCGGGCCTTGTAGTAGCGTCCCCGCTGTGCTCGGAACACCAGGGCCTCGCTGCCGTCTAGGCAGAGCACTCTACCCACCGAGCTTACCAGGCAGCCAAGAAGACAGAGCAAATTCTGCAATATAATACAACACACGGTAAAAAACAAACCCAAATTCTGTGCATAGTGTGTCTTGTTTTTTCTCGTCAGTTTGCTGGCCCTTCTTCACCAGAGGTTCTCTACTCTGGTTCTGACCAAATCTGAGACCAGGAGAGAGCCACGCCCAGCGACATCAGGAACTCTGTGGTCTCTGGAGGCCCGTGCGGACTGGCACTCAACACCGACCTGCCTCATACAGGTGTGGGTGGGGCTCTATAGTCACTGAGGTTGCTCTATCTCAGAGGGTCCTATCGAGGTCCACTGTATTCTGAGTCGCGCCGTTGTTTCCTTATGTAGGAGTTCTTTGACTACCTGCTACCTCTACTGCAAGCCTCAGTCCAGTTGCTGGAGCTGTACACAGACACGCCAGAGGTCGTGGGGGTCATTCTCGAGCTCTTTGCTCTGTCAACTGAGAACTACATCGTCTTTCTCAGCCAGGTATGGAGGGGGTGGGCTTCATTTGGAGATATGAGGGTGTTTTAGTCAATACTACAGGCTGACCCGACAGTTTAAAGGGAATGTGTATTATACTATAGTAGTACTTAAGTTTAGAACTAACCAATGCAAGAATAAAATGATGTACATGTACAGAAATACCACTGAAATTTGGTACTTGCGTTCACTTACCAAATAATGACTCACTAGTTATCATTCCTTCTTGTTTTATATATGTCAGGATCATACTGTGGAGCTGTACAAGGTGTGTCTGGATCTCATTCACTCGTACGCCCGTTCCAATACCGGCAAGTACAGGAGAACCGGTCTGGGTCCGGACGAGGAGGAATCCTGCGAGGACCTCCTGCAATTTCCTCAAAATGATACACACTCACACCGTCAAAGACTACATCGACTTTGGTAGCCCTCACGGTCAGCTCTCTCTCTCTCTCTCTTTCTCACCGCACCCAACACTAGCATTGTAAAATTGACGAGCGAAGCAAGCCTACCTATATCACTAAGTACAGTTATACTTAGTATAATAGGGATGGGCACGGTACCTAGCAATCATACTTCACTTGTTATAACTGAAGTAAGGGCACGTCACGAGTCCCACTGGTGTCCAGTTAGAGGGGTTCCACACGATGTAATGCTCCCAGATGATTGGTACACATGTGTGCCGGTGTCTCGTCTGTCTACCCATGGAGAGTCAGTGAAGCCATTGACGTGGTCGTAGCCGGACTGAACACAATCCTCCCTCTCATGACCAATGAAATCCTCAAGGTCTCCACTTTTTACAACCTTAGTACTTTCTCTATCCTCCTCCTCCAGATACATCTTCTACCTAGCCTTACATTTACCCTCCCTCCTATACTCTGGTTTCCTTCCCCTACACAAGCCCTTCTTTCATTTACTACTATACAATTCTCTCCTTTCTGGGTTTTTCTCACATCACTGAACTGTGCTATATATCAGAATTAGCTCAATTTTTGTCCTTCCCTCTCTCTTACCACCCCCCTCACACACACTCCTTCCCCCTCAGTTCCCTCTATGTCGCAGTTCTACATTCTAGTCAACTATGTCTGTGAGAGTTGTCCCAAAGCTCCCACATTCCCCACCAGTTGTTTCCTCACCTATGGACCTACTGGGACCGCTACACAACTATGGCCCTGAGTCAGATCCTCTGTCTAGAGGGTATCGAGGGTGTGGCTTCCTGCCACGCCCGGGCGGTGCCTCCCCACGTCCACTCCTCCCAGACTCTCACAAACGTACTACAATTTACACTTCCTTAGGTGTGTTCTAGCAAGGCAGGTGTGTTGTTCTGCCAACGACAGGGGTGTTCTCAGCAAGGCAGGTGTGTCTAGACAAGGCAGGTGTCTAGCAAGGCAAGGTGTGTCTAGCAAGGCAGCAAACACGTCAAACTATTTCGGAGGCCCAGTGCAAGTGATTTCCTTTTTTACTACTCCCTGCACAGTGATTTTGATCAAATGCTGACGTGCTCATGTGTATATGGACAGACCATCATTCACGTGGCAGCAGTCTATGCATGCCATCATATGCTACCACAACGGTAACTATCTATGCTACCTGTATTACACTGCTTACGTAGACTCACACTGCAGAAATCAGTAGTTATACAGGACTTGGGCGTACATCTGTAGTTGTTTGATAGCATAGGCATGAACCGACTGTATGAGCTAGTGGGTATCTGGGTGGTTGTCTCAGCCTATATCCATCCTACATGTGCAGGTTCATACATTATTTGCCTAAGGATATCCAACAAATCTGTTGCAGTAGCCAGACAGGACAGCATGAGCCCTGTAGGGCGAATGCTGTCCTGTCTGGCACTGCACCATATTATATATTATAGCAGATGTGTATGCATAGTGACTATAGTTGCAATTTTGATAGAGAAAACCACAAGCCACTGAAGTTACTTGTGTGAGTCATGCACACATTTTCAGGTAACTCTTATCATTTTCCGGCTTTAAACAACCCCTTCCCCTTTCTCACAGAAACTACCTGTCCCGTAGCCACCGGAGTCCTCAGTCTCCTCACGCCAGTCCGATCCCCAGAACCAGGAGAGCCGGCTCATGAGGCCTTCTCTCAAAGGTCTCTGCACGGATCCTCCTCTCGTGCCCTCGTGGATCGACTCCAGGAGCACCTTCCAAAAGCACTTTCACATCAGGAACAAGCCTCGAGCAGTTTCTACACCGTTTGTGACAGTTCTGTGTTTACAAAATGACGACACAGACACACGAGAACGTTTGCATCATCAGTGTTTCTTTGTTTTTCAGCCATTATCGGGCAACTGCTCTGGCGGTATCATATAGGGCCATGTGGCATTGCTGTGAAGGATGTACGCTTTTATTTCATAGTGAAGAGACTTGTAATCACTGCTAAGGAGTGGAGAACATATGGTGTACTTGCAGTGTTGGTGGAAAGTTCACGAGCAGACAACTTTTGGCCTGAGGTTAATTTTTGTAGGTTGTTAAGGCACCCACGAAATTCAGTCGTAGACGAAGAACAAAGATTTCCTCCCCTACATGTTTTCTATGTTTACACAAGCTGCAACAAAGGCATGTGGTGCTCCCTAATTAGAATCATAACTACGTAGAACAACGCAACACATTTTGGTGAGTCAATGCGAGAGTCACACGTGACATACACTCCATACTATGGCAATAGCGTCCGTATAATAATGTGGAACAAGGGACACTATGGGGCCAACGATTTTGTCCTTTGTAGAGTAGAGAAAACAGAAGTCGTCCCTATCTCGGAGGTCAAATAATACACTAAAGTATTAGCATGGATCGAAACAAGTGTCCCTTGTATAAAGAGTTGTCCCTATTTCAGAGGGTCCCTTATCGGAGGTCCAACTGTAATGTGGAAAAGACGATTAGGTAGACTTGCTCCACTTGCCAATTATGCTTGCTGTGTTGTGTTGAATATTTAACCTCACAACTAAGAAACAGCATTCTAACTAGCTATAGAGTCCATACGTCAATGTTATTATGTAATCCGACGCAATCAAAATCCGAGGGTGTCCAAGAGAGGATTCCTAGCAGAGGGTTTCTGGAGAGAATGTTTGGATTTCCTGAGACTCAGTTCTGGGTGGAGCTGGCACTGTGGGAGGAGGGAAAGGATTGCAAGCAATTTGGAGTATGTTCATACTTTTTGATAGTAGGCACTGCCCTACCCTATTAAATTCACAGACTGTTCTATATACTACTGTACTAGAGGAATGCAACACGTTATTGTGGACAAACGAGCAGTTCAATATTTCACACGTGTTTTCGTTATTTAGAATAATGTAGATCATTACGGTATGTTCAGTGCCATCACACATAAAATTCCTGCATTGACATATATGACTATACTGACTATACTGCTACATACATACTGAGTACAATAATGTACAGACAGGAAAAGGCAGGCATGCATGGATATGTTTTGACAGACAGCAGCATGCATAGAGTACTGTCCTACATGCATACATACTGCATACTTGTTGGATATCCCTAGGCAACCGACATGTATGAAGCTAAGGGATTTTATCAGCCTATACAATCCTACATGTGTACACAGGGTTCATACATGTCATTTGCGCTAGGGATCATCCAACAAATCTGTTGCCACATATACCTACATATCCCAATACAAAATTTGATTTCGTGGCATATATATCTCTATCATCTAGCGTGCACCAAGTTGAGTACGCACGGATGTATACATATACATCTCTCGCAGACTGCACCTTTACGCTGGTGGCAATGTGTAATGGCAAGAGAGACGTTGTTGTTTCCCCAAGATACCCATTGCGATGGCCACTGCCTCCACCAACATCTTACCATCGTACCATGAAGGCAGTCCGCAACTCACTCCGTGTTGTCAAGACTGGTTCAGTGCCACATGGTCACCATCTTTTCCAGACACGCTGCTAGAGTGCTTGTGGTGCTCAGCTTGTGATTCTGGCGAGAGTTGAAGGTCGTAGTTTTGAAAGCTCCTCCCAGTGACTTCCACCGTGAGCCACGTCATCCAGTTCAGATACCACATCAAAATAGTCACCAATATCGACACACAGTGTGAACGTGCAATATCGGCTAACTGGTTAGATAAAGATCATTAAGCGTACTGCGTACATTCACACATACCTAGTGTGGATGTTGGGAATGGTAGGAGTGGCTGTGTAGTGGTGACTGGTGCTTCCTCTGACACTGTGGACCTGCTGCTGTGTTGCCTGCAGTACAGTCACACATGCTTTCAGTGTTAGCTCGGACAAGCTTGCAGGATTACAAATGGGGATCTGAACTACATAGGCACTGGATTGGTGTGGTAATTCCTCTTACAAGCCTCGCACA